ACTTTCATACCTTGTTCAACGAGAATAAAGTGCAAGGTATTGATGATCTTACTATGCCAGAGTGTATGGTAAATCGGAACTTCGTGAGAAGGATTCAAATAACAGAAGTTAAAGAGGCTAGAAGAAAGCAGTGGGCCCAGATGGCATACTGATCGATGCTTGGAGAAGTTTGGGAGACAAAGGCATTGAGTGGCTAACACGTTTCTTCAACATGATTTGGAGAAACAAAAAAATGCCAACGAGTTGGCGGAAGAGTATTCTCATTCCCCTATTTAAAAATAAGGGTGATGTACAAGAATGTGCCAACTATCGAGAAATTAAGCTTATGAGCCACACCATGAAACTTTGGGAGCAAGAGGTCGATCAAACTTTGATCATCAAAGACTTCGAAGAAGTGTGAAAATTTCGGAGAATCAATTTGGTTTTATGTCTGGGCACTCAACAACTGCGGTCATTCACCTTCTTAAAAAAGTTGTGGAGAAGTATAGAGACACTGAAAAGGATCTGCATTTGGTGTTCATTGACTTAGAAAAGGCATATGATAGGGTACCTCGAGAAGTCCTTTGGTGAGCCTTAACTAGAAAAGGCATATCACGTAAGTCTATCAGTATCATCATGGATATGTATGAGGCAGGTACTACGAGCGTCCGTACTAGTGTAGGGAGGACCGCAGAGTTCCCTATTACTATCGAAGTGCACCAAGGATCGGCTGAGTCCTTTCTTATTTGTTATAGCCATGCATGAACTTACGAAGTCAATTCAAGAAGATATATTGTGGTGCATGATGTTTGCAGACGATATTGTATTGATTGATGAGACACAATCGGGTGTTAAACCAAAGCTGGAAGTATGGAGACAAACTTTGGAGACCAAGGATTTTAGACTAAGCCGAAGCAAGACTGCTGAGTATATGGAGTGCAAGTTTGGTGGAGATAGAAGTAGTAGCAACAGTGGGATTACTCTTGATGGTAACGAGATACCGGTGTGTAATATGTTTCGTTACTTGGGCTCCATAATTAAGAAGGATGGTGAATTAGATGGAGATGTATCTCATAGAATTAGAGCTGAGTGGATGAAATGGAAGAGTGCATCTGGATTTCTTTGCAATCGAGATATGCCGACTAGACTGAAAGGTAAATTTTATTGAACAACAATTGGGCCTGCATTAATGTATGACGTAAAGTGTTGGGCGGTGAAACAATGTCACATTCAAAAGATGAGTGTGGCAGAGATGCGTATGTTGCGTTTGATGTGTGGACATACCCGAAAAGACCGCTTGAGGAATGAGATAATCAGGCAAAAGGTGAGAGTAGCACATATAGAAGATAAGATTCAGGAGTCTCGTTTGCGGTAATTTGGACATGTGCGTCGAAGACCGAGTGATGCACCCATTTGACGACTTGAGGGGTGGGGAGAAGAGACTGAGAGGAGAGGGAGGGGAAGACTCAAATAGACTTGGATAAAAGGAATCAGAACTGATATGCGTCTTTTTGGGTTGGATGAGAGTATGACTTTGGAGAGGGCAAAGTGGAAGGCGCTCATTCGTGTGGACGATTGATCTTTTTTCTATTTTTCTCCTCTCCTTTTCTTTTCTTTTCTTTTCTTTTATCACTTATCTTCTTTGTCTTTTTATGTTCTTATATTATTTTTATCTTCTAGCTTTTTTGTGCTCTTTTATCTTTTAATCATTTATCTTTCTTATATTCTTATGCTATTGTTATCTTATACTTATTTATCTTTATCTTATTCGTTTTATCCTTTTTTTTCTTGTTTGTCTTCTCCTTTTGGCATCCATATCATGGATCGATTCATGTTAGCCGACCCCAAAATCTTTTGGGATTAAGGCTTGGATGTTGTTGTTGTTGTATTATTTATATATTACTAGTAATACTTAGTAACAACATTAACTTCTAAGATAGGTTAAAATTACATTTAAGGAACTCCGAAGACCAACAAGAACGTATTGGTGATTTGGAGTGCGTCTTAGACTTCCTCGGGACACACAAAGGTTCGATTCATAGTCAAGACACATTTTTGAGCTCGTTGTGTTCCAATTTCTTCTGGGTTTGCACCACTCTGAGTTGTGTCTGGTTCCAGTTATTCGTTTTTCCCAGGTTTTAGCAATGTTTACGGACCAATGGGTACCGGACCACGTAAGAGGCCGGTTCACCGGGTTCTAGGCCGACCCACTAGGTCGGGTTCCGGTTTATTAAACATGGTTTCGTATTATTAATTCTTCTGTATATAAATATATTATCAATCAAAGGTTACCATCATTGACAGGAAAAGTCAAATCGACTCACTAAAAAGAGACGGTGAGAATATGTAATAAGCAATGACGCTAAGACCCCAATATGTTGCTATATTCGGCTTTATTTGGCTCATCAGCAGAGTAATTATAATAAGTATCCATCTTGCTTATATATCAAAAAAAGTGAAAAACCTATGTTACCAAACATTTTCCTTCAAAAAATTAACAGATTCAACCATCTCAATCACATAACTCATTCCCGGGAGGACGGGGGGGGGGGGGGGGTTAAATATTCATGTTCCACAATATGGATGCTGATTTGCAATTTCCAGTTTGTGCCATGAGCCATGCCTACCAATTATCTCAATTCATAATAAAAAAAATATCTATGGAAGTAGGGAAAAAGCTATGTTGTCAAAATCAGACCTGACCCGGATAAATGACGGGGTCAAGGGTCAACCCCAACCCAAAAGGTCAGCCCAGTCAATGGTCATGAGCCTGGTCAATATTTATAAAAAATGAAATACATAGTATAAAATATACAACTATATATCAAATTAAATATGCCACGGGAAGTATATTTGAATTTATGATTTATTAATGATAATATACAAATGCATAAAAAATAAAATTATGGTTCTAAAATATACTCCGTAATGTTTATTACAATACATTTAAAAATAATAGAAGTATTTTTGTGATAAATAATTTGAGTGTTGTATAAATAATTAGACGATATAGTAATACCGATAGTAAGTAGTATAGTTTTTGTGCTTGTTAATTACTACTTCCATCCCCTCAACTTTGATACAAGACTTCTTTCAACAAAAAACACTTTGATACAAGAGTAGGTGATGCGGCTACAAAAACTGAACTTATGCGATTGATACTGAATTGATAAATTGAGAATAAAGGACGAACGATTTAGAACCACATAAACTTTATCAAATTTGATATGGGACAATCTTGGTGGGACGGACCAAGAACGAAGAAGGGACAATCTTAGTGGGACGGAGCGAGAACGAAGAGGGGACAATCATAATGGGACGGAAGGAGTAAATCGTAACCATTAATGTTGTAACTTACACATGTTTGAAGTAGACATAAACATGACTGTTTGTGCTCTTGGGCCGGGTTTTCAGCAGGTTTGCTCACTGGTTAGTAGGTTTTACAGGGTTTGAGCTGATTTGCGGGTTTGATATATCTGGCCTGGTATTTCAAGCGGGACAGTTCAGGTCTCATAACCTAATGAAAAAGTAATAACATGGCAATTTTGACATTTGATCCCATCAGAAAGCAAATTCTTTATCTTTCATATGTTATATATATATATAGAGAAGTGATCAGGTCCAGCCGGAGGGACGGGAAGCGCCGTCCGAACTCCGCCGTTTGGGGCGGTTCCCGGTGGAATTTTTTGATGAAATTTTTTGAGCATGTTCTTCATCAAGTCTAGTTTGTCCATACCAAATTTCAGCTCAAAATTCGATCGGAAAGGTCGTCAAATGATTTTTGCAAGTTAACTGGTCTGGAAAATACATATTCTGGACGAGTTAACTTGCAAAAATCATTTGACGACCTTCCCGATTGAATTTTGAGCTGAAATTTGGTATGAACAAACTAGACTTGATGAAGAACATGCTCAAAAAATTTCATCAAAAAATTCCACCGGGAACCGCCCCAAACGGCGGAGTTCGGACGGCGGCTGGACCGGGGAGGGCTGGACCTGATCTTTTTTGTATATATATATATATATATATCCTTTTTATTTTTTCATTATCCTTTTGATCTTATCTTATCTTTCTTTTCTTTTTGACTCCAATATCCAAAATCGTGTGGGACTAAGGCTTGAACGTTGTTATCGTTCCCACTATTCCTTCTTTAGCAAATTGGGACGAGGTCATCCAGTGTAAACTTTGCCACAACACATGATAAAGAGCAGGGAGATCAAGGGGCGGGAACGGGCTTGGGCACACCTCCTGGACTGGTTGTGGGCTAGAATTATAGTTTTATTTATTATTATAAAGTTTATGTTATGTTTTGTAGTTTGGGTCTAATATTGGTAGAGTAGTTACTAGTTAGTAAAGTTAATGTGGGCCTAATTAGGGTTAATTAATTTGAGCTCGATTAGGGTTTCTATTGAGTCTCTTACTAGAAGGCTATTTATACACCTTGCCAGGATTCATTCTTGTTTATCTAGGAATAAAATTGGAGTTTACTAGAACGATTTCTATCGTTGATTATCTGGGCAACGGATTATTCCGTTGATTTCTATTTTTCATTCTCATAAGCACACTAACTTTCATGCCAATGTGGTTGGGGGTAAGGTCTTGCTCATGATGATGAAGATGAGTAATAACTTCAAATTTAAATCAGAATCATAAATTACAGTACCGTAATTTAGAGTATTAGTTAGTAGTGATATTTTTCCATCATTTGCAATGGAGCCAAAGATTCATTATTTTTTGGCTTGAGAATATGATGGATTAAAGCAAAATGGCTCATCAAACTGTCTGCTCTTCTTTGTTATGAAGCAGTCCATGCAATTTTGGACGCGATTTTCATTATGGATCATCCGGACACAGTCTCTCTGTGCTTTAGTACAGGGGTAAGACTGCGTACATCCGACCCCCCCTTACTCCACCGTAGGTGGGGAGTCTTTGCGGCACTGGGGTAAATGATGATTGATGATTGATTTGATATAGTTAGTAGTATTATTGAATGTCGTTAATTTCAAACCAACCAAGCGTACCTGGATGAGGAGCTTGCATGCATATGGCAACTTCAGGGTAGATATATTATCCCCATTCTTACATGTTGAACAAACGCCAGTTTTCAGTTTGTAGCTGTAATATCCCAATAAACCACATTTCTCACAAACCTACAACAAGATCACAAGTTCATGGCAGGAAAAACATAAGCCTGGAATATAGCACACAAAATAGTAACCAGAATGATAAGCATATTGATTAAGACATGATTCCATGATTAAATCAGAGGTCCATTTGGAACTTGGATAAAGCCAAGGAAAGAAAATGAGGAAAAAAGATTGAAAATTTGGATATTAGTTTAATTCATCATTTGTATAATTCTGCAATACAGACTACGGTGCAGATCGTATCAGGCCGGCCTGAAGAGAACCGCCATCAAGCCGAGGATAAACTAGACTTGATGCTAAACATGCTCAAAAAATTCCACCTGGAACGACCCTAGATGCGCTTGGACGGACGGCGACAGGATCGCTACTTGACTACGAAATCTATATCATTGCATAGATAATATTACCTCAGGCCCTTGTAACTTTGTCATATTTCTTTTTTGGATGTCCCAAAAACTTTGTCACTTTCCTTTTTAATCAATGAATTTGTAGTTACTAATATTTCTTTCTCTTCTGCACAAATCTCAACAACAAAGTTTTTACTTTATTATTTCTCGTACAAGTCAAACTTGTCTAGGTACACAGATAAATGAAAACAAAAAAGAACTTTTTCCACACAGCAAACTCCACCCGTCCATTACCACTTTCTGATTTCCAAATACAGTTGAAAGCAATTCTCTCTGTAATTAAGGGTAATTGATTTCCGAACTTGGTTGATTGTCTCACCTGAACCTCAAAGGGATCGCTTGAAATCATCAAGCGCTCATATATTAACATACTAGCTCCATATGCAATTAAGCAATCCCTTTCCATTTCTCCAACACGTAGACCTGGAACAATATAAAAAATTAAAGAGTTCCCGAAAGATAAGTAATAATAACACAGACCAGAAATAGCTTAAGTAGGTTATCATGCCTCCATTTCTACTTCTTCCTTCAGTAGGTTGTCTTGTGAGCAAGGCTCGAGGGCCAATACCACGAGCATGAATCTTATCTAAGACCTGATCACCAATAATGTACGCGATAATACATAATCACTGACCATATTCAAATACATCCAAATAAAAATTTTACGATTCAGACAAATCAACTTTTACATAATAAAGCATATGTTAACATTTTCTTCTCAATTAAAAACAAATGGCATTAAATGATTAAAACATGATCAAACTCCAGAAACTAAATCGCCGCATGACCAAGAGTGAAGGGTTGAAAAAACCCTAACGCCACATCATCTAAGATCTTGGCCAGAAGACTGTATCTTAGCACTTGATCGTTGATTTGTTTGTTTCCATCTTCTCCGTCCGCCGATTCAGTCCTGTCTTCAGTTACGCGAAAGCTTTGAGGGCTAGAGCCGGCCCTAGGAAACCCTAGGCGGCGAACTGCTGAACGAATATAATCTCCTGGCTTTCTTTTCTGTGACTGACAACAATTTTCGATGATGGCGACGTTCTCTGGGTAGTAACAAATCATAGGTTTTCTTATGTTGTTGCTCTTTTTTTATATTTACCTTCTAGGGTTTTGGTTTTGGTCCAGCTTTTTGTATGACCGAGAGTTGTGTCCGCTTCAGGTGAGCGTGGGTTTCATTCTTCTCCTAGCAATGTCTAGAGGTTGTGTCTTCCTCGTCGGTTAACCGATCGAAAGGTTCATTATTCATGGTTTGCTAGACAAGTTCAACTTATTTTTTCTGAAGGTGCAATTCGCCCTCCCCCTGAACCACCGTATCACTCTGGGGGAAATAACGCTCAACTTGATCTCCTTTTTGGTGGCTGGCCAAATAGACGATTCAGACTGTTTCAGCTCAATTGAATTTCCTTGTTTGATTGCTGGTCAAATCAATTCTCCCTTTCCGGTGACTAGTCTAGCGTGATCTTTTAGTTGTAATTTTTTATTTTCTCTTTGGAGTAACAAGAAGAGCAGCAATGCTGTTAGACTAGACTACATTATTGTGGGGTTAATGATTGGAAGGATTGATTGGATCTTTTCTATTCTATGTCTCATCCCATTGTAGCCTTAAGCTATTCATTAGCTTGTATTTTTACTATCATTTAATGAGTAATATAGTTATTTGATTTTAAAAAAAAAACTCAAGAAACTAAAGGGCAGTCGATCATATATATGGACAGTTCAATATATCTAAGGTAGGGGCAGGCCTTATACCAGAGACCGTGACAGGCCAGTCTTTTGCATGGAAGCAGAACTGGTTTTCTGGAACAGGTCCTGGAACAATCAGGTATGGGATACCAGCCCAAACCGATTCCTCCAAAATAGACCCAGACTTGACCGCCATCAGAAGAGGAATTGGAACTACAACCAACCCAAGAACTGAAGCCCAACCGGATAACCCGGTTCTGGTTCTGGTTCCACCCTTTATATGACCTAAAACCGGACGGGTCCACCCATAATCTGTAGACTGAGATGATCAGGACACTAATACCCATCTCATTTTACAACTCACAGTTGAAATTAAGCCTCAAAGGAATAAAGCACACCCAATATATGCTTTATTCTTTTTATTTGTTTTGTAGAGCTAATACATATCGAGTTAGCTCAGTCGTTTTAATCTTTATTTTGACAGGGTTTAAAATCCTCTCCTTCCCTATTATTTTTTCTGGTTGGGTCTTTTCATATTAAATTTGTTAATTTTATTGGATAGAAATTCTCCTTCCAATTAATTAAAATGAATTGAAAAGTGGCCATATGAGATGGAAATCTCATGCACGGTTCGACATAGTGGCAGTAAGTATGACTTTTTTTGTAACCTGATGGGTGTGGCAGTAAGTTCGACATTTGAAGTTCAGGTCAGGGTGTTGACCTGTGTTAATGCAAGATGGCAGGCATGTGGCTTATATGAGCAAAGTACTATCCGGATGAAACCAGAATAAATATGTTTATGAAAGGGAACTCATGGCCATGGTAGCAGCTATACACAAATGGAGGTCCTACCTGATGGGCAGGTGTTTTGAAGTTCATACTGACCAAAAAAGTTTGAAGTTCCTGACTGAGCAAGAACTTTTGGGGGAGGAACAGCAGAAATGGATCACCAAACTCCTTGGGTACAATTTTGTGGTTAAATACAAACCAGGGTTGGAGAATAAAGCCGCTGATGCACTGTCCAGGAAGGGTAGTTATCAGGCCCTTTCAGTGATTAGTTTCCATGAATGAGAAGGGTTGGAGGAGGAGTTACTGCATGACACCAGGTGTAATCAGATTATTCAGAGTTTGTTGGCTCAACCTGAATCACATCCTGGATTTAAATTGAAGAAGAGGTTGCTTTATTATAAGGATAGGCTCATGCTGCCAAATAGAGGGTTGTAAATGAATCAAATAATTTGTGCTCGATTCGCGATTCGAATTCGATTTGAATTCGGAAAATTCAAATACAAATAAGAATATTAAATTTGATTCGAGTTGTTATCAAATACAAATAAAAATATCATTGTATTCGATTCGAATATTAATCAAATATATTCGATTAATAATCATGGCAATATTTATATCAATATTATTAATAATAATTGTAATATCACTATAATAATTTTTTAGATATCAATACCCTCAAAGTGTAACCCATATATACATTTTTGCATATAGATTCCAAGCTCATTTGTAATAAACCAGAATATAAATACGAATACAAATCATTTTTTGGTTCAAATGTCTTTCAAATACAATACAAATAATTATGTATTTGATTTGAAGAATACAATTAGAGTTGTTTGACTTCGATATATACACTTATCAACTTATTTCACACATTATAAGTATAATTTCTAATATATGTGTGTTAGTCTTTATTTCAAAAAGTTTGAAATAGATTTATATTTATTAATCATAAAACTAATTCACTTTAGTATATTGTGCACCATCTAAAAAAGCATTGATCCATTGAATTTAAATTCCAAAAACACATATTAAGTCATATCATGCATTTACAACATAAAAATACGGAGTGTAAGAAAAGTTATTTTAAAGTGATATTTGATTAATATTTACCTATGCTCAAATCGATTCGATATTCGTATATGATTCGTTAACTATTCGTATGGTTAATCAAATACAAATACAAATCGAAATTAATGTTCATTTCATATTTGAATTTGAATTCGTATTCGAAAAAATTAAACAAATACAAATAGGAACATTGGAGGATTGCCTAAAGCCTTAGGAAAGGACACTATTCTAGTGGTGGTTTGACAGGCTGACTAAATATGCTCATATTTTGGCATTAGGTCATCCTTACACGGCTAAAAGTGAGGCAGAGTTGTTTACTCAAGAGGTGGTGAAGTTACATGGGTTTCCAAAGACAACTGTATCTGATCGTGACAGTGTTTTCTTAAGCTCATTTTGGTCTAAATGTTCAAGCTGGCTAGGACTAAGTTAAGGTACAATAATGCCTGTCATCCCCAAACGGATGGGCAGACTGAGGTGGTTAATCGTTGCTTGGAAACTGTGAAATATATTGGAGTGAATGTAGGAATATGCTTTGGAATATTTAGGAATATACTTTAGGATATTATTATGTTATAGAATCTTATAGGAATATTCTATCTTGTAATATATACTTATAGGGACTTCAACCCATCAATAAACACACAGAAAATCCTTCTCTCCATCTTAACATCATTCTAGTTTATATTTCAACATGGTATCAGAGCCTATCAGAACATTAGCCCAACCGTATTAGCGTCTATGTACACATATTCCCAGATTTATCACTATCCCAGAAACTTAGCCTTAACCCTGGTATCCGGCAACCTCTTCGCTCACCTTCGATCCCAGAAGGGCTGCCTTCCATCGGCGACCAAACTCATGAAGTCCACAGGAAAACGTTGACGCGCGTGACACTCACGTGCCGCCGCAAGTTCGCGTCGATCTCCGCACACGCCAGCGCATGACGGCTTGTCGCTGGCCGGAATTTTTGTCGGATACCACCCATCGACTCGCCTGAGTGCCCTCTATCTACCAGTGTAATTTGTTCCAGGTTTTCTCGAGCTCTGAATTTCATTTCCTTTCATTTGTCCACCATTGTATTTGGAAAACTCTTGCTGAACAGTCTGAACCTAGAGAAAGCCTTTCCCTTCAGTTACTTTGGGAGATTGTTTAAAAGATCTCAGACTTTCACCCGTGGTTATGGTATGGTATGCGTACTCATCTGCCGTGAGATTTTGAAAGCCTTTATTTGGGAAACCACGCCATTTTGGAGGTGCTTCAGTTATGTGTGCATTGTGACTGAAATATTTTTGTAGATCATTGCTGCACAATTTCACCGGTAAAAAAAAGAGTTGAAATAAAATGTCTTGTACGGGTCAGTTTGGCACATAACAAACATGCAATTATATTGTAAGAAGTCCGGACACTTGATCAAAGATTGTCGTAAGTTGAGTATGTCAAATTTTTTCGCTACCAAGAATCTCTATAGCATTCATTTGTTCCTATCTCGGTAGTCGCTAATTCATGTACTTCAAACACATGTCTTGACTCCTCATCCTCAAAATGGGTCATTGACTCAGATGCCGCAGATCATTTGACCGATAATCCTAATCTTTTCTCATCATTTCATTCATATTTACCTACTTCTAGTGTAATTTTGGCTGACGGGTCTACTTCACCAGTTCTCGGATCAGGTACTGTTGTTCCAACTTCTACATTACCATTATCAACTGTTCTGGGTCTTCTTACTTTTGCCTTTAATCTTCTTTCCATCGGTAAAATCACGCGTACCCTTAATTGTTCTGTAACATCTTTTTCCTGGATATTGTGTGTTTCAGGATCTGTTGACGAAGCAAACTATGGATAAGGGACATGAGCCGGCTGATCTTTATATTTTGGATACATCAATCACAGAAGGTATCTCTTGTCTTGGGGTTGGAAATTTGTTTGAAGCTCATTACCAACTAGGACACCCATCTCTCCCACTTATGTGAGAGAGCAATTTGCAATGTGAGTCATGTCAATAAGGTGTCATCTTTACAATGTGAGTCATGTCAATTTGCAAATCACCATCGTACTAGTTTAAGTCCTCGAGTTAATAAGCGAGCAAATGCTCCTTTTGATCTTGTCCATTCTAATGTTTGGGGGGGATTGTCCTTTTGTGTCTAAATCTGGTTTCGAATATTTTGTTACATTTTTATGATTATTCATGTATGACTTGGTTATATTTTATAAAATGCCGATCAAAGTTGCAACTCATTTTCCTGTGTTTTGTGATGAAATTAAAACCCAGTTTAATGTTCCTATTCGGGTGTTAAGAGGAGACAATGCCCAAGAATACTTATCTGCTGCATTTAAATCATTTATGCTTCAACATGACATCATTCATCAAACTTCATGCGTGAACACACCTCCTCAAAATGGAGTTGTGGAACGAAAGAACCGACATCTGTTCGAAACTGCAAGTGCTCTTCTATTCCAAATGAATGTGCCTAAACAGTTTTGGGCTGATGTCGTGCCTACCGCATGTTTTTTGAGAAATCGTATGTCATCTTCTGTTCTGAATGGCAAAGCTTTGTATCACTCTATATTTCAAAATAAAGAGCTTTTTCCTATGCCACCTAAAATATTTGGTAGCACTTGTTTTGCTAGAGATGTTAATCCTCATCTTACAAAGCTAGATCCCAAATTATTAAAATGTATTTTCGTAGACTATTCTTGAGTTCAAAAGGGGTATAGATGTTTTTGTCCAAGTATTGGTCGGTATCTTGGTCTATTGATGCATCATTTCATAAAAATACACCTTTTCATCATCTAAGGTAGATATTCATGAGAATAATGATGATATACTTATTTACACGATGACAGTACCGAAGTCCACATTTTCGACAATTATTCCATAAATTACTATTCCTGACCCTAGGCGCCAAATCGCTTCATATATAATATATAATATTATTATAATATGCATATATAATGAAATAACATACTTTGTATTATAAATAAATTATAAATTTTAAAGTTAAAAATATAAAACAAAGTAAAAGGATAAACTCATGAGAAAATATCTGACAATTTAATTATAATGAAAATATCTGCAGAATAATGCAAGTGTAGCAGACATTTATTCAATGGAAAGAGATATTAGATGGACTCCAGCCAGGGGCGTATCTACTATGGGGGCGGGGGGGCAGCTGCCCCCACTCAACCCCCACCCAACCCCATTATATATATATAAATTTTATTTGTGTACATATATCATTGTCATATGTATAGTATAATAATGTTTAAAATCCTAAATTTAATGAAAGAGTTGTAGCCCAGCGGTAGAAGTGACGCACGCGTAAGAACTGTGGTCATGTTCGAATCCCACAAGCCACTTCATTGTAGTTTTTTTTGCTTTCCTTTAAATTGTTTAAAATTTGTTCAAATGTAAAACTTAAATTAATTTTTTTTTAATGCAGCTAATAAGTGATATGTAATTTCATCAACATCTTTGCATAATTAGTATTAAAAGTTATTTATTTGTAACTCAAATCACTTATAAATTACATATTTCATCCATTTCTTGTATATTTTTTATTTTGTATTTAATAAAGTATAGATTATCTAAATCTAAGATCCAAATTAGTTTAAAATAATTTATTTAATGTAACTAATAAATGGTATGTAATTTAAATCGCATCTCACTTAATATTAAAACACACTTGTTTATTTGTAACCTAAATCAGTTATAAACTTATAATTACATAATTTATCTGTTTCTTATAAAAAATAGTCTTTATTTTTAATAAATTGTCAATCTTTTTAATTAATATTTATTTCCTAAAAAATTGTGATAATGATAGTGCAGACTTGCCCCCACTGAACAGATTTTCTGGATACGCCACTGACTCCAGCTGTAAATAAAAAGTGTACAGTAAGAAACCCTTACTTCGTAAGACATGGGCTAAACATTAAAAGATAAGTTTATCTGAAATTATGTTTTAAAGCTTCTTGCAGTGATGCAGGGACTCTAATAGAGTCAATAGTTGAAAGAAAACTCTAATGTTGGGCAGAAAGATTCTTAGTACACACAAATTGAGATATAGGGTAATGGGTGCAAGATCGTTTTTTCTTTCTCAACGCAATGGGCAGGTCATCGGGGCTGGGCTCACAATATTTATAGGCTCGGAGTTAGGAGCAATTAAACAAGAATTATTAGGCTCGGGGGTTGTGAGTACTTACCTCAGGGTTAGACGATTGGACTTGCTCATGGATTAGGACGGGTTTAGCTTTCGGTTGGTACTTTATACGGTACCTGTCATCATTATTATTCACTGGTATTTGTTCAGAACCATTATTAGTAGCATCACGGTCTTTAGGGTCAGGACTAAGATGTGAATTCAAGGGTTCATTTATTAGATGAAGAACAGAAAGCTCAGGGGACTACTTCCTGTCTACTCTCCCCCTGAACCTGAGAATTAGGATAAAAAGATTCGGTTTCCAGAAAAGTGACATCCATGGATATATAAACACCGCGACTAGAAGGATGATAACACTTATACCCTTTTTTATTTGGTGCATATCCTATAAAGATACATTTAAGAGGGGTCTAACTTACTTCGATAAGGACCATGAACATGAACAAATGCAGAACAACCAAAAACACGACCCTGGAGACTTGGAGACTTGACATAGTGGGCACTGATGGGAAAAAATTATTTATAAAATGTATAGGGCTAACACCACATAAAACCCTAGATGGTACCCTATTGCTTAAATAAGTAGCGGTCAACACAGCTTCTCCCCAATAAAACTTAGGAAGGACTAACACCCAATTGTGTCTCATCAATGAATACAATATTGTCGGCAAACATCATGCACCGCGGTATATTATCTTGAATTGACTTCGTAAGTTCATCCATGACTATAGCAAATAAGAAAGGACTTAGAGCCGATCCTTGGTACACTCCGATAGTAATAGGGAACTCGGCGGTCCTCCCTACACTATTACGGACACTCGTAGTACAAGCTTCATACATATCCATGATGATACTTATATACTTACGTGATATGCCTTTTCTAAGTCAATGAACACCAAATGTAGATCCTTTTTAGTGTCTCTATACTTCTCTACAACTTGTCTATAAAAAAGGTGAATGGCCTCAGTTGTTGAGCGTCTAAGCATAAAACCAAACTGATTCTCCGAAATTTTCACACTTTTTCGAAGTCTTTGCTCAACCACTCGCTCCTAAAGTTTCATGGTGTGACTCATAAGCTTAATCCCTTGATAGTTGGCACATTCTTGAACATCATCCTTATTTTTAAATAGGGGAATGAGAGTACTCTTCCTGTCTTCCACCAACTCATTGGCATTTTGTTGTTTCTCCAAATCATGTTGAAGAAACGTGTTGGCTACTCAATGCATTTCTCTCCCAAACTCCTCCAAGCCTCAATCGGTGTGAACAAGTATTGTTATATTTCATATACTTGATGTTTTAACATAGTATACAAGAAGCTATATTTATAGTTATATTTAGAGTACTAGGGTTTCCTATACAAATGGGCTAAGCCCAATACTACTAGGGTTTCCACACTCCCCCTCAAGCTGGAGCATATAAATCATATGTACCAAGCTTGTCACAAATATATTCCACTCTCGGACCTCTAAGAGACTTAGTTAAAATATCTGCAAGTTGTTCAGTTGTGTTCACATATTTTGTGATGATATGTCCACTCGTGATCTTCTCTCGGAGAAAATGACAATCAACTTCAATATGTTTTGTCCTCTCATGATATACCGGATTTGATGCGATGTGCATTGCAGCTTGATTATCACACATGAGTTGAACCGGTTTTGTGTTCCCATATTTTAACTCTTGGAGGAGATGCTTCAACCATAAGATTTCACATGTAGCAAGGGCCATTGCACGATACCCGAAGCCGAAGTTTGAAGGCCATTAGCAAGAGTAATCAAAGGAAGGTGTCGGTGCTTGGTAATATGGGATAAAAGATGGGGATTACCAGAAATATGGTCTGAGGCACCTGAGTCAATGATCCATGAGCCTGTTGTGTTTGAAACACAAGCGGTAGACACCCCGGGCGTGGATAAAGGCATATTAGTCAACTTAAATTGTTGATATGCTGCATATTCTTCCGGTGATAGAACAATGGGAGATGATGAGAGCTGAGCAACATGGGCTGAGGGAGGATTTCTCCCATGTAATTTCCAACACCTGTCTTTAGTATGACCAATTTTATGGCAAAAATCACATTTAGGACGATTCCATCTTGAGTATCCGGTGTTGTTTCCTCTGTCAGAACTCATAAAAGGCATTTTTTTAATACCTCTTTTTTTTTCTTTTTTTTTCTTTTCTTTTTTTTTTCTTTTTTTTTAGAAGAATGAAAAGCTAACGAATGAGAAATTAAAAAATAAAACCTGCTGCGGATCAACGCTTCAAGACAGTAGAACTCACGATAGCCGTTTGCAAATACTCCGTAAAAAATAAAACCTGCTGAGTGTGTGATGCAGTGTGTTGACCGTCTCACGTTTGAGGGACCATCTCCCAGGCGATGCTGGAGTTAACCAGAGAGCAACCCAGAGAAACAGCGGAAGTAACTGCCTGAGATTCCGTCAAATAGATGGAGCAACGGCCAGAGCAGCGGCAAACGGCCAGAAAGGCAGCGACGACCGATATGAGCGGCACGTGGTTTTGGCGGCGGCGCGTAAGATCGGCGGCGGCGCGTGGTTTTGTCGGTGGCGCGTGGGTCCGATGAGTGACTGGTTTATGTTGTTTCGGTCGCTAGGAGTCACCGATCTTCAGTGGTTCGTCTGTGTGAGCTCAAGATGAGATGAATGAGAGAGATCTGTAAAGAAAGGTGAAGGAACCTGGCAGTTGGCGGCAGCGCGTGGCAGTGCGTGCAAGGTGCAGCAGAGGTGTAGTTTCATATTTTAGTGTACTGAGGATGGCGGTAGGTGTGGTTTGATATATCACTACCGGAAATTGCTCAAACACCAAATGCTCTTACTGTTCACGGCGGACTTTCTTGCCGGAAATTAAGAATACTATATCTAAAGACATATACGGCTCTGATACCATGTGAACAAGTATTGTTATATTTCATATACTTGATGTTTTAACATACTATACAAGAAGCTATATTTATAGCTATATTTAGAGTACTAGGGTTTCCTATACAAATGGGCTAAGCCCAATACTACTAGGGTTTCCACAATCGGTATGCCATCTGGGCCCACTGCTTTCCTCCGCCCCATCTTTCTCATAGCCTCTTTAACTTCTGTTATTTGGATCCTTCTCATGAAGTCCTGATTTACCACTCTGGTATAGTAAGATCATCAATACCTTGCACTATACCTTGCACTTTATCCCGTTGAACAAGGTATCAAAGTATGACCTCCACCTCTCCTTTATTTCCCCGTCCTCCATTAGTACCCTTCGATCAACATCCTTCACACACTTAACTTTTCCGATATCTTTATTCCTACAGTCACGAAGACGGGCAAGTCTGTAAATATCTTTTTCTCCTGCCTTAGAGTCTAATTTTGCATACAATTCCTTGTGCACTTTTCCTCTTGCTTTCTTTACTCTTCTTCTAGCCTCCTTGTACTCTGTTGTGTTCTCGTCGCTCCAACTTTTGCCCAATTTCTTATAGCATTCCCCTTTGGTCCTTATTGCTTGTTTCACCTCATCATTCCACCAAGATGTGTCCTTTTCTGGTGGTAGACATTCTTTAGATTCTCTAAGAGCATCTTTAACGGAAGGATCAATTCCTCTAAATGCATTGCCACGTCAAAGTTCGGAAAAAAACATCTCCAACGGCAATATGGACTATGGATGTTGTGATGACCTGGAATGGAAAAAAAGGGATGATGTCTATCCCACCTTCTGGTTTCAGAAAGCTCATCCCATTGCCAACTAAGCAAAAAATAAATTCTGCCAAACCTGGAGGTGTATATTCCGTACTTTACTTCCTATGTACTCCACTCCGTATACAAAAACAAATAGCAGTAATGCTTTGCATATGAATAATGATTAAATTATTATTTTGTTAAGAGAGCGAACAGAAGAAACCATTGGAGAAGGAATATCATTTTAATAGTCTATGAGTCCAAATCAGCCCCACGGGCTATTTATATGGATGACATGTCCATTTTTTTAAGGGTGCGATTCACATTGTTATTGGAGATGCTCTAAGTATCTCTTTCGCCACTTTGTTAATGGTGAACTCCATTGATAACCACTCATCATCCACATGTGTGTCATTATCAATGGACCATACATCTTCATCCAACATTTTATGTGCAAAAGTTTGTTGGAGATTCCCCTCGAGCCTCCACCACTTTATCTTTTGCTCCCCCTGTACCTTAACCCGTCTTCTCTTTTTACCTTGAAAATTAAGCACAAGCATCCTATGTTGAGTGACAGCACTCTCACCTGGGATAACCTTACAATCCGTGTAGCAATCAGTGTAGATAGCTCTCCAAGTTGTCCGTACTAAAAAGTAGTCAATTTGGGTACTATTAGCTCCATTTCTATAGGTCACAAGATGAGAGTCTCTTTTCTTGAACCAAGTTTTCATCAGAGCCAACTCATATGTCGAGGCAAAATCCAGAATGTTCTTCTCCGCTTCATTTCTAGTGCCAAAACCATGTTCGCCATGGATACTCTCAAAACCATCACGACTTGGGCCCACATGCCCGTTGAGGTCACCTCCTACGACCAACTTCTCTCCCCTTGGCACTCATCGCACCACTTCCTCAAGATCCTCCCAAAATTGTTGAATGATAGATGCATCAAATCCCACTTGCGGTGCATAGGCACTTATCACGGATACGATCTCCTCTTCTGTTATCAACTTAATATCGGCACTCTAGTGTCGCATAAAAAATTCCAGCATGACAGTCATTAGTTCGCACCCCACTCTCAAATCCCAGCAGCTTCCCAACGAACTGCGCCGCACCAAGGATCGTCATTCCAACGTGCATAGTGATTGACAGGACATGAGCGGTCCAATTGCTGACAGGCCACGAGTGGTTGCCGTTGACTGCTTCCGTCATCCCCGGCAGAAACTCCGACCGATTCCCTTGCACCACCAGTAAACCCAAAATGTTATGTTCGCACATAACACAAAAGCCTCCCCCCACCACCACAGGGCTCCAGCCGCCATCCCAAAGGCCACGGTGGGTGAGAATCAAACATAAGCCGGAAAGAAACTATGTCACCCGTGTTCCCACTTGCCACCCCCCACCCACATCGGACCCCGGCGGCATTGGAAAGAAATTAGAGAGAAGGCAGCATAACAGTATCTGAAAGCACGAGTAACTACAGGCGGTTTAACCCTAGCAAGTCAGTGGTCTTCTCCGGCGAATCCTGGCACTTTTAGAGCGAAACAAATCCAAACAGCTCAAGAAACCAAGGGAATCAAACCGGGCGGTTCTGTATTCATGCCCCCCCCCCCCCCCCGTCATCTTCGCCGGCAATATTCACCCAAAACCAACAAGGACACGTTACTCTCCACCGGGATTAGCTCCATTTATCGCCCCCCAGACCCCATCTTCCCCATTCTTCGCTTCTACATCGCCCTACCCTCTGTGGAGGCCACGTATGTAATTGCCTTGGGCCGGTTTATCGACGGAGGGTAGGTACTTCCAGGAGCCACCAACCTGCAGGTTTCACTGCCGGCCAACCCTGGAGGGTAATACAGTCATTACCTCTGGCGACCAAATTAGATCCAGCCACTAGCGAAAGTCTAGTCTTGAAACATCCCAAACCCCCAACGATCCAATCAGATATCACAAAGCCATCCAAGGAGAACAACAGGGGTTTGACACCAAATCCGGTCACCGGTGGAAAAGGCGAACATGAAAAGTGGAACCCGTCGGAGTGCAGCACAGCCCAGAGTCTCTGATAGGTCCCCAGCCGTTTAAAGTAGACAACAAGACGACCACCAGCGTGTCCCCCACCGGTGATTCGCCAAGATCAGACTACAACAAGTTATCCGACCCTGTGTTCAGGGACATAGAGGCTGTGGCGTCGGAAGGCCTTTGCCTAGGTGGTAGAACGACTAGGGGAAGAGTGAAAAACGTACACGGTGTTCATTGTTGGTGCAGCCAGACCCCTGTATGAAGTCCTCACCGAACTGCATGTCCCACGAAATCACCAAACTGTTGGACAGCAATGGGAGAAGAACCTTCAAGAACGAACAGTGAACAACCTTTCCAATATGTTTCCAAAAACTCATAGGTCGGACTCTATGGTGAATGTAGCCGCAGCCATGAGAGTATGAGACCCACTGGAGCCAGGAGGGATCCGGCAGAGGCGACCACCATGAGTGGTGGCGCCAGACCTGAGGAAGGAGAAGAAAGAGCAACCTAGGAGGAGCCTAGTGGGAGACGCTCTCAACTCTCTCTATAACAAGGATTTCTCTAAAGCTTACTATAGGAGGGTAATAGGGTAATTATCTAATTAATGAAGTGATGTCAGGATGAGCTGGGAAAATAGAATAAAAGGGAGTCGGGTAATGGAAATAGGGGTATCTGGGAATTGGTGAGTTTGTTGGAGAGAGGGTCCCTCTCGAATGGTCTCCAGATTGTTATTTTCTTTTGCTGCAAGTTATTGAGATTTCCTTAGTAGTCTGAATACTTCTTCTACCTTTGAGTAACATAATTACTACGTTATCGGGAGTGTTGTGTCCTATCACTTGCTGAGCTGGCTAATGTAGTGGAAGAAGGGAATAAAAAGAAGGGAAGAAGTGAGAGCTAGGCAGTTTGGTAGTCTGTTAGAAGTTCAGAACTTGGTGAGCAAGGCACCCTCGAATTGCCTATTCTGTATTCTTCTCCCTATTTTCACCTTTAAATGATGACATTCTAATCTGTGAGCTAGTGATTGATTGTTTGACATGCTTATTCCTCTATGTTGGGACAATTGTACTGTTATCTATCATACTTGCTCAACTTTCCATTTTTAGAAACTACGATCATATCAAAAACGAAAATATCCTTACTTCTTTAACTTCTCTTTCCACGTTTTCACCTATTCTCTCCTAATTTTTGAATTTCTGTTTCCACATTTTTCTTCCATTCTCTCCTACTTTTTTCACTTTTTTCCATACTATTCACTGTCACTACAATTTTACTCCTAGATTTCTTGAGTAGCCAGCCTATGGATGCAACTAAATGTGAACGGAGTGCAGTGTGAGGGTCAACTTAAAACACTGTCACATAGACTGAGAAATAGCAGTTACATTCCAATATAATGTCAAAGATAAATACTGTGCTTCAGTTTCTGGGTCTCACCATGTGCTTCAGCTTCTGGTAATAAATTGGCCCCATAAAGATATATGCTTGTAATGGCATGCCATCAATGCCTAGAGTAAAGAATTTGGAAGAATTGAATCTAAGGAAAGTTCACATATAATCAACCAACATTGGATGAAATCATACGGATAAAGGACACTGACCTGAATATATAAAGTCCTTTCCATTGTAGCTAAACCCATGCTTCACAAGGGTTTCACTATTACAAAAAGATATGGCTATGCCTTATTGAGAATAATAAATCGAATGTTTGCAAATTTAAAAACGGTTTATCGAAAAAAGCAAAATACCTTATAGTTTCAACTCGATCTGCATGGCCACTGCTTTCCCCAAAGGCACTTCCATAATGGAACCTACCACAAGAAACTCCTGCTTTACCTCCAAGAAGCTCTATCATCTTTCCAACAGTCATTCGGCTGACATTTATAGCAAATATTAATTAGCTGTATCAAATAACGTACTTGCATTAGGTAAAAATTACATGGCAGGTCAGGTTAACATGATATGAACTTTTTATCCAACGTTAGACAGAAAGGCAGATTGCGCTATGTTGAAACACGTTGGAAACTTGAAGAGTTGATGGGTTGTTGAACAAACCTCTCATGTTAGTGTATGTTAACTTTGCTTTAAACAAACATATTCTGTTAATTTTAGTCTTTTTCTCGCCTTTGGTGGCTATATATACAAGCACTTTTGTAACCTAATCACAGAGAAAGTACATACTTTCTTTTTCCCACTAAATGTGGAGCTTAATGATCATCATATTCTTAACTAAAATTGGGAAACTACGAGAACCACCATCATCCCTGACTAACATGCCCTTGGCTCAGTCTAACTCGGTTTGGATCTAGACACGGAAGTGACATATCATATTTCTCGTAACCTCTCCTGCTTCATCATATTCTAATTCATTTCCGTTGGAGCAGTATATATGCTGCAGCTTGAGAAGGATATAGCAGTTTACATTTTCTTCTTCAGTGCTGTATATTAGTGTATTCTCAGTTGTAACTTGTAAAACCAAGCTTTGAATGTGCTTTTCATCTATTCAGGAGATGAGAAAATACTACATACAGAGAATTGTATCTAAGAAGAGATGCTAGTTTAGTATGCTATACACATATGCCCTTCGCCTCCCAAAGAAATTCATGTTTAGCCAATGTGTAACAGTTAAATTTCTAAAAGGTACGGAAAAATGTCAGAAAGATATATTTTGACAAACCTCAAACAGTCATTCATACTTGAACATTTTATAGTTACCTTGGAAATCCATGAGGATTCATAATTAGATCAGGGCATATGCCACGTTCAGAAAATGGGAAATCTTCTTGCTCGACTATGTTTCCACAGACTCCTTTTTGACCATGTCTGCTACTAAACTTGTCACCAAGCTGGATGAAACACCAGCTCAAAAATCATTTCAGTGCCTAACAGACAATTCCAAGCCTACAGAGAATATCATGTCTAGTACAAGCAATTAGCAGGGACCCACCTCCGGCCTTCGAGCGTGACGAATCATAAAATTAACGCATAAATTGTTGTCCTTGTCAGAGAACAGAGCAACTCTATCCACAGCACTTATTTGTCCTTCAGGACACTTGTTGTAACCAAGCGAAAGTTTCACTTGTTTGTATGCGCTGGAATATGAAATAAATAGAGTGTTATATGATTAAAAAGAATGTAGAAACAAAAATTAACATACAGAAGTGATACCTCTCTGGAAGCGCCATTGGTGACTGCACTGTTGACCCTCTTGTGATATGCGGGGTTCCCTTGTACATGTAAACATCCTTGGCTTTAATGAGTTCTCCTGGAGAAGCTAATCCATCATCGTCAAGAATCTGGACCAACACGAAAGAAAATATGCTGAACTTGAGCCCCGTTTCTACTTTTGCAATGAGTAACTTTAATTTCATTAGGAATAGTTAGCATCTTAACCCACAATAAATTATCAAACACGATGTATAATCAACTTGGACTATCATCTAGACTAGAAATAAAGTCCTGATGGCTGATACATGTAAAACAACTTAAGCCAGATCTAAGTAGTTAACATACCCAATATACTCCCATCAGAAGTAGGGTTAGAAGAGGTTGAGACGTGCATACACCTTACTACTACCACCAACCCCTATAAGTAGAGACTGTTTCCATGAAGAAAACCAATTGAGGAAAAAATTGGGAAGTTCTGGAAGAAGTCAGAGCTTCACAATTCAAAACTTTGGAAACCACTACAAATCTACACATCCCTATGTGGATTGAAAGAAATAGAGAAAGATGTCTCTATTCTGTTTTTGTTATATTACATATGAGAAGAATGTTACAGAATATATACAGCTAGAGAAGTAGAAAAGTACGGAAGGAATCCTATTAATTAAGATTTCCTAAGAATAAGGGATATTTAAAGATTCAAAGATCTCTAAGATATCACCTCATAAATATATAATCAGCTAAGGATGTTTTCTTTTGGAATGTTTTCAGTCCCAAACCAGACAAAACCAGGCCAGATCAGACTAGACTTAAACAGATCAAACCACACCAGACCAGATCAAACTTAAACAGACCAGACCAAATCAGACCAAACCAGACTTTGACAGTTAATAAATACACAGAGAACAAACATTACCGGACCAAACCTGACTTAAACAGACCAAACCAGACCAAACCAACAAATTTCAGTCCAAAAGAAAACATCCTAAATCAAAATATGAAATAAGTAAAATAATCTACACCCTAAGAGTTAGGCACAACAACCACACCCACATACCCACAGTCCCACTTGTCGAAACCTCTAAAGGTATTAGTAGAACAACAACAACAACAACAACAACAAAATCCAAGCCTTAGTCCCAAAAGATTTTGGGGTCGGCTAACATGAATCGACATATGATATCGTAACCAAAAGGAAAAGAAAGATAATCTATGATGAAAAAGATAATATATAAAAAAAGAGATGGATTTACATAAAAAGATAGACTAAACGGGATAAAAAGAATATATATATATATATATATATATATATATATATTCTTTTATCAGTATGGGAGCATTTTAGGGCTGAATGCAAACTAGATGATAATTTTATTATTGAACTATTTTCGTCATGTAGTCCAACTAGGGCATTAGTTGGAAAAGGAAGGAGGGCATCTTATGCACTTACTTCACATTCCAAATTAGAAGCCTCTCATCTTAAGAGTTAGGCACAACAACCACACCCACAGTCCCACTTGTCAACATCTAAAGGTATCAGCATGAGTGCATTTTAGGGCTGAATGCAAATTAGATAATATTTTTATTATTTAACTGCTTTCGCCATGTAGTCCAACTAGGGCATTAGTTGGAAAAGAAAGGATGGTATCTTATGCACTTACCGCACATTCCAAACTAGAAGCCTCCCATCCCTAATAAGAAATTATACCTGCATCTCTTGAGCATCAGATCCATTTCGATGTGGTCTAAGTTGCCTATCAAATATATCAATACTGTGCTTTTGGTAACTGGCATTGACTCTGTGCTTTTGGTAACTGGCATTGACTCTGTTAAAAAAAGTCATTTCAAATGGGGAAATAGCTACATTGAAATCTTAGCACACAAAAATATGAACAGGAAATACACTCATGGCATTGATTATTTACTTCTTCATTAAAATGCATCGACCAAAACCACGGTCAAGAGAAGCCTTGTTCATTACAATTGCATCCTCTATATCATATCCACTATAACTCATCACAGCAACAGTTGCATTCTGTCCAGCACCTAGTTTATCATATCCAACCTACAAACATAATTGTTAGTAAAGAAGGAAGATGTCATCTAATCAGCAACAAGATACAATACTCACCAGCTCAATTGTTCTAGTTGTCAATAAGGGCCTCTGAGGATACACCAAAAGGTATATCAACGAGTCCATCCTGTACAGCTGCAAAGTGCAAAAAAATATTAAGGTTACGCCATTTGAGATGGAAACACATCACGGAAGGGTAGAGCATTAAGGTGCATGAGATGCACAACAACAGAAATCTTCATCATTACCCCAGTGCCGCAAAGGCTCCCACCGACGGTGGCGTAAGGGATCAACAGAAATAGATAAATAAATTTTTTACTTTAATAGCAGACTAATACATTAACCAAATACAATCGTCAGGCCCGTTAGAATTGTCTAGAATGCTTTTACTGCGGCACAAGAACAGCTATAGCACTAGAAACCCACAAATAATCATGCAGCAGATAATAACTGTTGTTAAAAAAAAGTCAGTACATTATGCCAGACCTAAACTCATCTGGGCTGTATGAGTATATGACAGAAAAAACTTACTACATAGAAACAACAATTGTATTGATGTGAGAGGTGGCGCGCAAATGGAACATGGAGAAGTATTATAAAAGGATCTGAGTGTTATTATTAGTTTCCTTTTACTAATATTAGTACTAGTTTCCTTTGCATACTTGAATGTTATTTACTTGTTCAATTTTACTCACATTCTTATTAGCCTTTAGCATTACATTTCCTGTTATGATTAGGGCTCTTGTTGTAGCTATACAAGGGAACTTTCTAATGATTAATGAACAACTATTTGGGAGAACTAAATATGTGTTTCTTGACAAGGTCCGACACCAATTAATTCCACATCAAGTACTAATCTGAGATACTATCTGTCATTCTTCATCTCTTTCATTATTTCCTCAAGATCAATGACAAGATCCCAACCATGCTCATAACAACTTGCAACCATAGCTGTTCTTTTCCTGCTCCTTTCATCATTCGTCCCTACCTCTTCTCCTTTTATGGTTTCTGTTGCTACACAGATATGAAAAGAAGAAAAGAAAAAAGAAAAGAAAAAGAAAAAAACAGAGACTGCAAGCTTGAGTTTGTTATGCTGTTTTTTTAGTACATAGGTTTCCTTTTTTCTTTTTATTGGCCATGTTGCACTTAAAAAAAAAAAACAGAAACACTAACAACAACACAAAAGCTGTCGGACCAATTCCACATGAAGTATAGATCCAAATTGCTATTTTGTTATTCACTTATTCTTACCTACTTTGTTCTTTATCTCTAACTTTGAGACCATCACAAGATCCCAATGACGCTCTTTTATTCTAGTATTATTTTAGGTCTCTATCACTCTTGACACATATATGCTTTATAGGTTAAATGGATAACATTGCTCTCTAGAAAACATGCAAAATAGAAATGGAATTGAACCATTTCTCCTTTGTTAATTGATCACCCCAGTTATACCAAATGACACCTCGCAAAACTACGAAACAAATTACTAGTCCAGGACTCCAGTAGTCCAATCTAAGCCTTCAAGATGACAGTCAAACACCTTGCACTTATAAACTGCACTTTGATCAAGTTCAAGTAACTGATATGCAAGTCAGAGGCATAGAGCATTTATTGTCTAAATATTTACATAATATGATATAGGGAGAACTGAGAACAACTACTAGGAAGTTTGAATGCAAGAGTGAAAACACAAAGAAACCAAACTTCTTCACAATCAACAATTAGATTATAAATCAACACAGCAATACACACTATGACATCAAAGAATGGTTGCTTGCCCATCGCAACCATGTTAAAAATGGTTGGCGAACTAGAAACATACAAAAGATACTTTACCTGATTATAGGCAATATTGCCCATCGCTTGCTTGCCCATTGCACACTATGACATCAACCAAAAGAGAAAAAAACAGGGTATCAAAGAAAATATATTGTGTGTGTGTATCTGTGTGTTTGTGTATATGTATGCATATACTATATACATGTGCATGTAATTATTTTTGTGTGTATATATATACTTCTTTTAATTTCTTTGTAAATGTATGTATATATATACACGTATGTGTATATATATCAAATGAGAACACCCTTCTAAAGTAAGATGTAGGAACTCTATTTCCAGCCATCCAATCGAAGACAATGGTTGCAGTGAGCAACTTTCAATTTGAAAAGAGAATTAGATTGAGCAATTTTGATTATCCATTTGAAAAGAAACAGTGACACTAGTTCATGACTACCCTGTTGAAAGAACTTTATTCATGGTTCTCTAGAAGAAAGAGTTCTCATCTCTTATTTTCCCATTAGAAGTCAACCAACCCTATACACACATGCATATATACACACATACACAACACATACACACATTATGGGTGGCAGTGGGGGGAGACCTGATATGTGTTCCTTGGTGACTGATTGTGATGAGGATAAGGAATCAAACCAGCAATAACGCCTAAGATCGTGAAAGGCTCTATTTCAATATGTGTTGTGTCCGGGGTAGCTTCTTTATCATACAGGGCAATCTACAAAACATTCAACTATTATAAGTCGCATCCATGTAGCTCACAATTGCTAACAGAAAACGCAACACAGATCCAAAAGCATACAGACCAACGCATTATTCTGCTCATTTACATCAAGATACTCAACCAAACCCTCCCTCAAAAAGCTGTTGAAGTTGCGCACACCATCCTAAAAGAAGACAATATTTCAACAAGATGAAGGACCCAAACACAAGCAACAAACCCAATTGTGTAAAATACCCTCAATTCTTTCATGTGATGCTCTTTGATCCTTGGAATGCCCCTGTCAGCAACTACTAGTGGACGACAGACCCGGCCTCCATCTGAAGCAATGTACACACAGCACTGCAGGATAAAAGTATAATGATAATTTGGTTTTTTAACTATTCATAACTCAATACTGATAGCATAAATGATAAAACTATTATGTTCAAGTCAATGCCTGGGAGATAATCTATGAAATTTTGATATATCATATATATATATAGAGAGAGAGAGAGAGGAATGTTCAGGTCCGAACATTCCCCGTCCGAGCTCCATCCGAACATGGACGTTTGGGCCACTTCCCGGTGGAATTTTTTGATGAAATTTTTTGAGCATGTTCCTCATCAAGTCTAGTTTGCCCATACCAAATTTCAGCTCAAAAATCAATCGGGAAGGCATTCAAATCATTTTTTGAAGTTGACTGCGTCAAAATATACATATAAAAACGCAGTCAACTTCAAAAAATGATTTGAATGTCTTCCCGATCGAATTTTGAGCTGAAATTTGGTATGGACAAACTAGACTTGATGAGGAACATGCTCAAAAAAATTCATCAAAAAATTCCACCGGGAAGGACCCCAAACGAGGATGTTCGGACGGAGGGTCCTGTCCGAACGTTCGGGCAGGATCATTCTTGTATCTCTACAATCTAATAAGCCTCAATGAAGGTTAGGGTAGTTTAGGCATAAAAAAATGTTGGTGGTATTGTGAGCTTAGTTGACATGTACAACATGTTTAGATTCTTGTAAACGTTCAACTTCATTTGGCTCCTCTCCCTGAAGACGTTTGTCTCCGTTAAAATTCCCAAGGCCCAAAACCGTTTTCCTTCTCCCTTCCTCTTTAGCCGCACAGGGACATTCCTTTCGGTTCGGCAACAGGGACTCAGGCTCGCATCCTTTCATCTTCTTTAGCGTTTCTCTTTAAGCTTTGTTTTATTTGTCTTCGTGTTATCACTAGAAGAGACAACCCTGACGAATGAGATTGTTCGGTTTGCCTAGCAACTAAAGAAAGGTTAGGTTTCTTCCAATTTTCAATCGAAAGGCTCCTTTGTTTCGCTGTTATCTGTGTTGGTCTATTGCTTCGTTTTACCCATCTTTTGAATAACATATCATAAGTGTTGTATGAAGTATTACAAATGGCTGCAAAGTTTATTGGAATACTGTTATGGATCCATTCTATGGACAAGTATATCAACGAAGACGTGGACGGTTAGGTTCAGGGGATGTGGTTGGTCAAATCGGGGAAGATCAGAATACTCTAGATGGCTGACCACGAGAATAAGGAAAGCTGGCAGATTGGCAAGTGGCAGCATTTAATTAATTAGCATTTAAATAGTTAGATCCAGTTATTTCTTATTCTTAGTTATTTCCTAATTCAAATTAGGAAACTTCCTGGCAGCATTTAATTAGTCAGATCCAGTTATTTCCTATTCTTAGTTATTTCCTAATTCAAATTAGGAAACTTCCTATTATCCTTATGCTTCCTATTAGGACTCTTGTAATCTCTATAAAAGGGACCTAATATTGTTTAATAAAGGACCTTTGGAGAATTAATTTGATGTGTCTTGACTAGGTCGGGCACCGATTAATTCCTGAAGACTCTTCATATTTATTCTTGCCTCATTCGATAATCCTAGTATAACAATATTGATACTAAGGTCTCAGTAGGCTCTTCTTCTCTCCTGAGATCTCGTCTGAGACCTTGGACAAGGTCTTATACGCGAGTTCTTAACAATTTGGTATCAGCATCAGGAACGATGGGAACGGGACCAGATTCTGCTGCAACAGAAAACATGAAGAGTCTCCTTGAAGGCTTCGACCAACGCCAGATCGATGTTGAGGATCAACTGGCAGCCCTTCAAACCACGGTTTCTGGTTTGGTTAGCCTGCCCACAGCCTTCACCGAGATGCAGAAATCCATCGCAGCATTGACCACTGCTGTCCAGCAGGTTCTGACCGACAACTCCTGTGAGCCATTCGGACAGGGACGACGCAGGGATACCGAGCAGCACCAGCGCCACACTGAGGATTCTATGGTTCCACGTTTTTCTAAATTGGAGTTTCCCCAATATGATGGAAAAACGGAACCCTTGTCATGGCTTAAACGCTGCGAGCAGTTTTTTATTCAACAAAAAACCCCTCCCCAGAACCGAGTGGGGTTAGCTACTTTTCACATGGTCGGTACCGCTCAACTATGGGCTGACCAGTTAGACTCTGCAGGTACAGGAGTCAATTGGACCGACTTTTATACAAAGTGTTCAAAACGTTTTGGACCTCCATGCAGTGCCAACCCAGAAGGTGACCTAGCCAAACTGAGGCAGACATCAGATTTGGAGACCTATATTGAAACGTTTCAGCAATTACTAGCACACACAGTTGGCATCTCAGTCCGCATGCAGGTCAAAATTTTCACTGCCGGGCTACGTGAGTTGGTGCGCATGGAAGTAGAGTACCAGGACCCCCTCGATCTTGACACTGCCATGATGTTGGCTCGAACCGTTGAGCGGAAGTACCAAACCCCGACTGCCTCGACTGACTCTATAATACGGCCCCAACCATCCTCTCGACCGAATGCTTCAGCAACGACACTTATTGATTCCAGTTTATCTCGTCGTAGTTCTAATCCAACCTTCAAAAAAATTTCTCGTGCCGAGGCAGCCATACGACGTGAAAAAGGGTTGTGCTATAATTGTGATGACCAATGGGTTCGAGGTCATCGTTGTAAGAGGCTATTCTTTGTGGAAATTGTGGAGGATGACCAACTCGAGGAGGATCACACGTCACAGACCGCGATCGAACCAACATTGTCACTCCATGCAATGACTGGATTCGGCTCGTCCTCAACTATGCAGATTCATGCTACCCTCCAGAACCGTCCCATTATAATTTTGGTAGATTCGGGTAGCACTCACAATTTTGTGCATGAGCGTTTGGCGACTAATCTAATAAATCAACCCCTGCGTAATAACCGGTTGCATGTCATTGTGGCCAATGGTGACAAAGTCCCAATTATCGGTACTTGTCCGGGATTGGAGTTTGAAGTCCAAGGTAAGACTTTCACGGCAGATTTTTACATCTTACCACTTGCCGGATTTGACATGATTTTGGGAGTACACTGGTTGCGTGGACTTGGTTCAATTATGTGGGATTTTACACGCTTGTCCATGCGTTTTACATGGGAAGACACCTCCGTTGAATGGCATGGGCATGATGTTTCCCCTCCGCTCACTGCAACTATGGCAGTAGGCTTAGCCCAAACACCTCCTTCTCTGGCTGGCCTTCTTGTCCAATTTGAGGACCTCTTTAGGACACCAGTAGGGTTACCGCCCAAGAGGACATGTGACCACCGCATACGCTTAATCCCTGGAGCAGGACCAGTGGTTGTACGTCCTTACCGCTACCCGTATCTGCAAAAAGATGAAATAGAGCGTCAATGTGCGGAGATGATCACTCAAGGAATCATCCAGCCAAGTCGATCCCCGTTCTCCTCACCGGTACTTTTGGTCCTTAAATCCGATGACTCGTGGCGGTTCTGTGTGGATTATAGGGAACTTAATTCCAAGACAGTCAAGGATAAGTTCCCCATTCCGGTGATCGATGAATTATTGGATGAACTTCATGGAGCGTCATATTTTACCAAGTTGGATCTCCGTTCAGGCTACCACCAGATACGTATGGCACCCGAAGACATAGAAAAAACCGCTTTTCGGACACACCATGGACATTTTGAATTTCTGGTGATGCCGTTTGGCCTCTCTAATGCACCATCCACCTTCCAGAGTTTGATGAATGACATTCTTGCTCCTTATTTACGAAAGTTTGTCCTGGTATTCTTCGACGATATTCTCATTTATAGCAAGTCTTGGACTGCTCATGTGGCCCATGTACGCCACGTCTTGGACATCCTGCGTACCCATAATTTGTTCCTTAAGGAGTCAAAATGCAGCTTCGGAGCTACTTCTGTTAACTATTTGGGGCATGTTATCCACGCCGGTGGAGTAGAAGTTGACCGCACCAAGATACAAGCTATCATGGATTGGCCAACCCCACAATCTGTCACGGCCTTGCGCAGTTTCTTGGGCCTAGCGGGGTATTATCGCAAGTTTATTGCACGTTATGGCGAAATTGCAGCTCCCCTTTCCACACTCCTAAAGAAGAATGGGTTTGACTGGTCAGCAGCAGCTAACTCCTCTTTTTGTCAACTGAAGACTTGTTTATCCACTGCCCCGGTCCTCCAACTTCCAGATTTTTCTAAGGAGTTTATCGTCGAGTGCGATGCATCAGGAAGTGGGTTTGGTGCAGTTTTGCAGCAAGAGGGTCACCCCATCGCCTACTTCAGCAGGAAAATTGCAGACCGACATATCAAATTGGCAGCTTATGAACGGGAATTGATTGGTCTTGCTAAGGCAGTGACTCATTGGAGGCCTTACCTATGGGGTCAACAGTTTTTGATACGAACAGATCACTCTAGCCTGAAATACTTACTCGAGCAACGCCTCACCACATCACCTCAACAACATTGGCTAAGTAAGTTGATGGGTTTTACGTTTCGTGTGGAATATAAACCAGGGCGTTTCAACACAGTCGCGGATGCACTATCTCGACAGAATGAAACTCCACTCATTCTCGCCTCACTCACGGTGCCGCTATCCACGCTACTAGATGAGGTTCGGACTGCCCAGGCAGCATCCCCAGAGATTGAGGCCATTCAACAACAAGTGTTGGCCGGGACGACCACAGAAGACTGGACATTTCGAGATGGGTTGCTTTACTATAAACATAAATTGTATTTGCTGCCCTCGTCTAATATTATTCCTAGCATACTATCTGTGTTCCATGGCATGGCCCATGAGGGCATTGAGAAGACATTACACCGCTTACGTAAGGAATTTTACTGGCCAAACATGAAGCTCACAGTGGCCCAGTACATTCGTGACTGTCAAGTATGCCAACAACATAAGTGGCTGAACCTACAGCCAGCAGGGTTGCTTCAACCACTCCCCATTCCGCAACACATTTGGGCAGATATTACAATGGATTTTATTGAGGGTTTACCGAAGGTAAAAGGGAAATCAGTTATTC